TTGGGTCTGGCTTAATATGATTTTTTCTCCAAGTCTTTCCACTTCCTTACAAATGGAACAATGTCATTCTTCCTGATGGAAGCCCAGAATACTGATAAATATATATATATATATATATATATATATACATATATATATATATATATACATACATACATACATATATATATGTATATATCACAATTTCTCACAATTTCTTGATCTATTCATCCTAAGGGATAAATCAACACATCTGGGTTGATTCCATATCTTGGCTATAATAAATAATGCCACAATGAACAAAGTTGTACTGATAGCTCAGTGTGGCCTTGTTTGTGGTCATTTGGGTAAATGCCCAGGAATGAGATTGCTGGATCATAGAAGAGTGCTATGTTTAACCTTTTGAGGAACCTCCTAACTGCTTTCCAGAGTAGTTAAACAAATTTACATTCCCACTAGCAATGTAATAGAATTCAGTTTGGTCACATCCCTGGCCAACATCTGTTATTAATAGTTTTCTGGAACATGGGTATTCTAACTGGGGTGAGGTGGAATCTTTTTTTTTATTGTCAAGGTGATATACAGAGGAGTTGCAGTTACCTAAGTAAGGTAATAGGTACATTTCTTGTCAAATTTGTTACCCCTTCCTTCTTTTTTTCCTACTTCCCCTTCCTCCTCACCGTCCCACCCCCAAGTTGTAGAGATCATGTCCAATATGTTGTCTTGTGAGTATTGTTGTTGCATTTGTTGCCACCTTGTCCTTTGTCTCACCATTCTGTTGTTCCCATTCCCTAGCCTAACTCAAATAAACGTACATGCAATACCAGGGAACAAAAATCAAATACAGTGACAACAGAGGATACCATAGGGAGAAGACCATACAAAAGAAACAAAAAAAATCACATAGTATATTAAAAATGACAACAAGGAAAACCTCTTGTGTCTTGTTTTGGAGTTCATTTTGCTTAGCATCATCTTATACGGACATATGTACATAGCTATTGAGCTATTCTGCTCATCTACTAAGATTGTCCTAGATGTATACTAATTATTGAAAATAAGGACTTAAAGAGAGACTTCTCTGAAGAGGAAAAAGAATGGCTGATTGATAGACACATGAAGAAATGCTCAACTTCTCTGGCAGTAAAAAAATACAAATCAAAACAACATTGAGACTGAGATCTGAGGATCACAGATCAAAGCCAGATGGGGCAGGAAAGTCCATGAGACTCATCTCCAATAAACCACCAGAAAACTGGAAGTGGCTCTGTGGCTCATGTGGTAGAGTGCTAACCTTGGGCTGAAGAGCTGAGGGAAAGCACCTAGGCTCAGTTCAAGCGCCACAAACTCCCAAACAAAAACAAAAACAAAACAAATAAACAACATTGAGATTCCATGTCACCCCAGTTAGTATGGCTATAAACAAGAAATCTAATAACAACAGATGTTCCAAAAGTGAATACTATTACTCTGTTGGTGGGAATGTAAACTTGTTCAGCCACTCTGGAAAGCAGTATGGAGGTTCCTCAAAAGACTACACAAAGAGCTCCCCTATGACCCAGAAATCCCACTTCTTTACTGAAATGATCACAAACAAGACCATACTAAAGCTGCCAGCACAACTATGTTTTTCACAGCAATATTCACCATAGCTAAGATATGGAACCAAACCAGATACCCCTCAGCAGATGAATGGATCAAGAAAATGTGGTATATATATGTATATATATATATATATATATATATACATATATATATGTATATATGTACACACACATATATATATTTATATATATAATGGAATTCTATAATTCCATCAGAAAGAATGACACTGCCTCATTTGTAAGGAAAAGGTAGAATCTTAATATTGTTCTGATTTGCATTTCTTTTATGACCAGAGATATTGAACATATCTTTATGTGTCTATATGCCATTCTTCCCTCTTCAGAGCAGGCTTTCTTTCACTCTTTTGCCCACTTATTAATAGAGTGATTGTTTCTTTGAGGATTTGGTTTTGGTTAATTAAATTTTGAACTTTAAGCATATTTTAGATATGAAGCCCCTTGTTTGCTGTATAGCAAGTGAAACTCTTCTCCCAATCTGTTGTCTTTCTATTGATCTTGCTAGCTATGTCCTTTGCCATGCAGAAGCTCTGCTGTTTAATGCAATCCCATTTATCCAACCCTAAGTTTTTTGTGTTTCTGGGTCTTTATTTAGAAACTTTTGACCAGTGCCAAGGAGCCCTAGTGTTTACCCTAATCCTTCCTTTAATATTTTGTAGTATCTGATCTTACATATAAGCCTTTGATCCATTTGGAGATGATTCTGGTGCAGGGTAATATATAAATTTCCAACTTCAATTTTCTGCACATATGTAGCCAGTTCTGTCAGCACTATTTGTTGAAGAGTTTTTCTTCCATCTAGTGATTTTGGCTCCCTTTTCAAAATTTAGGTGGCCATAAGTCTTTGGAATTATTCCTGGGTGTTCAATTCTTTTCCATTGGCCAGTTCCTGTGTTGTTTTTACTATTACTATGGCTGTATAATTGTGTTTGAAGTTTGGCATTCCTTCAGCACTGTTCTTCCTGCTAAGGACTGTTTTTGAAATTGGGATCTTCTTTTACTCCATATTAATTTGAGGGTTGCTTCTTGTAATTCTTTAAAGAATGTTGAGATATGAGTATTCCGTTGAATTTGTTGATGGCTTTAGGAAGTATTGTCAGTTTCACGATGTTAATTCTCCCAGTCTGTGAGCATGAAAAGTGTAACTTCCTTATATTTGCTTTAATCTCTTTTTTTCAGGTTTTTAAAGTTTTCATCATAGAGGTCCTCCATCTCTTTGGTTAAATTAATTCCTAAGTATTTTTGAGACTATTACAAAAGGAGTTGATTTCCTGATTTTAGCCCCACTCTTTTCATTGTTGGCATACACCAAAGCTACTGATTTTTAGGGGTTAATTTTATGGGCTGATACTTTGCCAATGTTTTGGATCAGCTCAAATAACTTGGGAGAGGTTCGATAAATACAGGATCATGTCATCAGCAAAGAGGGAGAGTTTTATTTCTTCCTTCCCTATTTGGATCCCCTTTATGTTTTCATCTTGCTTTATTCTAGCTAGGAATTCTAGTACTATATTGAAGGGGAGTGGAGAAATCAGAAATCAGACATCCTTGTCTTTCTGATATCAAAGGAAATGACTTTAACTTTTCACTATTAAGTATAATGCTGGCTGTAGGTTTGTTATACACAGCCTTAATTATATTGAGGAATGTTCCATGGATTCCTAGTGTCTCCAGAACTTTCATCACAAAGGGGTATGTGATTCTGATGATGATATACTTTTTCTAAAGTAATGAAATTCTTACTCATCTAAATCATTTTGTGTAACACACATACAATCTCAAATAAAATACATTTTCTTATGGTACAGATTACAGTTCATTTAAAATTATCATGTAAGCATTCTCAGTTGTAGATCCAAATAGTCTTCTCCCAAACAAAAGTGTCTGGATCATCATGCCACTGTTCATTACTGAAAAATCATGTTAGAATATCTTTCTTATAGAACCATTTAAAATAGGCAAATAGATTTTATTTTTTGGGGCCTGAACTCTGGGCCTGGGCGCTGTCCCTCAGCTCTTCAGTTCAAGGCTAGCGTTCCACTGCTTGAGCCACAGTGCCACTTCCGGCTTTTTTTCTTTTTGCTTTATGTAGTGCTGGGAATCGAACCAAGGGCCTCATGCATGCAAGGCAAGTGCTCTACCACTGAGCCACCTTCCCAGCCGCAGGCAAATAGATTTTAAAGCATTACATTTTCAGAAATTATAAACTATAGAGTGAATGTTTTATTTAGATCTGTACCCATGAATTACAGTGGTTATCTGACATACATGATCCCCACAATAGAAAAAAAGCACATATTAAAAACAGCCCTTCTCAATTTCTGCATATTTAAGCTTCTTTTCCAGATTGACCATTTTTCTAGAAATGAACATCCTCAAAAGGAACATGAAAGCTGATGCTGGGAAAAGGAGAATGGGTAATCCCAAGAAGTGCTAAGAGGAGGAGAAATTAATTACAGGTCTAGATTAAAATTTAGGTCACACACAGTGGGCCTCAGCTTGTCTTAAATGTACAGCTTTAGCTATTCCATCTTTCATGATGTCTGCTTTGTTGAACTAAATATGGAAATGTCAATGAAACTATTAAAGTAGAAAATATTTTATAGAAAGCATAGAGTATAAGTTTCTATTACATTTGAGTCAAGAATCATGGCTATTTCAAAACACTTTTCATGATTTCTCTCCTTTCTGTTCAGTTTCTGTACACCCCCTGAAAGCCTTTGTGGGCCTCTGAAAGGTCACTTCTAAGATACTGGGAGTAAGAAGCCCTTCTTGTGGTGTGAGGACTCTGTTCATACTGACAGTGATAATCAGTACAGTCACTAAAATGATGCAGAAATAGACTTGTTAAATTTTATCAATAAGCAAGAAAATGCCTGCTAAATTCCTTGAATATGTTAGAAGTGATTAAGAAATTAATAACTCTAGTGATCTATCACCAACTACACGATATTTTTCAAATTGCTTTGTTAAAAATATTTTTTTCTTTTATCACAGATATTTATGCAAAAGGTACTTTCCAAATCTGATAGATTTATTTGCCACTGTATTGTTCTCCTCAAAAGGCTTACAGCATTGTTAGGAATATAGGTCACTTCCTAAATTCACACAAAATGTAATTCAGGGGGAAAAAATCCAAGGGCAATGAATCCCACTATAAAAACATCATAATTACAGAATTGGAAACTGAAGAGATAAACTTAAATTTTTTTAAAAATTATTTTTTATACCACTGTGTAAAGCATAATTATACTTTTGGTGCAGGTAAAGAGTTCAAGAACATGAGAGCAATAGAAGTCATTCCTTGAAATTCATATAGTTTTTTTAGGCATATGTAAACACAATAGATCACAAAGTACTGAATTACATAACCCTTTCCATAACCATGGTTCAACTTACCTCTACTACCAGTTGCCGAAGTGACGGTGATGCTACAGAGTAGAGACTGGAGCTGCCCCTGACGGGACTATGGAGACTAATATAAGCCACAACATTTTTTTGAAGAACTTTCTGGAAATCCTGGAACCAAAAGAGAATAGGTTCTCTCTTTAGCATAAATGAAGATATCTGACTTGACTTCATTAGTGAAATGTTGTTTATCAAATCTTTTCATTGTATAAGTACAAATGCATTTTTATACTATCTAATACATTAAATGAAGGATAAGAAAGGAATTTTACATATTGGAGGTGAGGGGTTGGATATAACCTATAATATCTCTGCCACAAAAGTCAAATTTCAAGAAAAAAATTCTGTAAATGATAGCATAGCATTGCATTTGACCACAGAAATTAAGAACATGTTTTCTGCTTCATTGACAATACATAAATTGTGATAGGCATTGATAAAGAGAACAAGCATGGTGAATGAACTATTTCAGTGGTTCATAATGTGTGTCCTTTCTTATGAAGCAATAAGCTCCTTTCTGCACAAAGTAACACTTGGCTTTGAGAGAAAGTGCCCATAATATAATCATGTACTTTTGTGTTAAAAATTCACCATCCGCTCTGAGAGAGTTAAAAAGATTACTATTTAAAATTAAAATATTTTAAATTAAAATATATAGTAAATTTTACTTACAGAGTTAATGCATTCATAAATCCTAAAATTCCTGTTATGTGAAGTTTGCATGAAGCAAGACAGGCATTTGGTGTGCTTATCTGAAGAATTCATTCTATATGTGTATATAAATATAAATATATATATATACATATATATGTCAATAATCAAAGACAGCTCTACCTAATCATTTGAGCAAGATGAACTTTTTCTGACTTTTCACTATTGACTCCTGCGATGTTGTAATTGTGTAGTATTTACAACCTGATGATTAAGAAAATATAAAACTTCCAAAAGCATAATGGATTCATTAAAACTTAAAAATATAATTGTATGCTATTAACTTCAGAAACATTTACTTCATTATAAAGAATAACTGCTTGTATGTGCACCAATGCACATTGCTTCAATTCACAGGGTAAGATAGTTGATGCTCACAGAAATTGAAGCAATTATTGCTAAGTAATTTATATTTTACAGCTGGATTCAGGGTGTTTTACTTGTAAATAACAATATTAGACAGGCTTACTCTAAGAAAATAGTTTGCACGTATACATATTAATTCAAATTTGACATAAATTGGTAATAGATAGTTATTTAGAAAACTATGGATATAATGACATATTCAAAGTTTGAAAGAAACATTTAAGACATTCTTAATACTTAAGAAAATTTAAGTGTGATCTCTTTGTGTATGAATTATTTAAAGTAGTCTAACTTATATTTTGCTTAAATGCATTTTATACTTGCTTACTGATCTTGAAAGCAAATAATTTAGAATAGAAATCTGAGAGGTTGTTTCAGCTGTTACATTTTCTATGCCACTTAGGAATCCGTCAACTTAAAAAGGGTCTTAAAGCAATAGAATTCTTTACTTGAAGTCATTCTTTGGAGTATAATGCTCACACCACTCGTTTACATAAAAATAAAGCATTTGAAGTTGCAGTTATGAATCTTGATGGAATTTATGCCATAAAAATGTTCTCATCTTTAAGACAAATTCCTTCAAATTAAAAAAAGTGATTGCTAGTTTCTTTTCTATGATTTTTTTGATATTTTCTCTGAAATTCAAGTAACTTTTTGAGTAATATAATAAAAATGTTTCAAGAGAATTCATATTAGATATAAAATTTTCTCTAAAACTGAGTTAGTGAAAAACTAGAATATCAAAGTTCTTCCATTAAATTGTTTCCTCTTTTATTAAAAATAGTGAACAAATTACCTAAGAGTTTTTCAAAGTTTATATTGTTATTAATATGGTATTAATTTAATGATTAGTTGTCAAATTCTTTTAAATATTTGAACATTTCTGGTAGGCAGACATATTGAGCTCACTTGACACAAGCATTCTGTGTCTCACTGAATAATTCTATTTCATGTTACCTCTCCCCATTCATAGGAACCAATGTTTCCCAGCTTTGTTCCTCCCCATGAGCAGAAAACAATGGTGCGGTCTGGTCTCCATCCTCTCCTCACTCTCAGCATCACTGATCGAATCAGAGCTGTGATCACAGCAGTGCTACTGGCCCATTCTTGTCCAACATAAGTTAATCCACCATCATGATGGCTCCCAACTATAATATATCGGTCTAAACAAAGAGGAAGACAAGAGCCATTAACACAAAATATAAATCTTAACAATAAATGTAATGACCTTTACATAAGCCTCTTGCACAATGAAGTAGCAATTAAGCAAAATTGTTCTGATTATTAAGAATATGTCAGTTTTCACCCACTGTCTTAGCTTACACATCTGGGAATATCAAAACAGAGGCAGCTGCCTAACCACATGATCAATCCAAACCTTTAATTCCTATCACTGTTTTTCACAATGTGAATATTAATTAACATAGTATCCAACTATACCACAGTGAATCCTTTCTTTGACATTTTTACCAACATCAGTGAGAAGAGCCTTATGAACAATGTGTCCAGCTCAGCAAACAACGAGCTAATACATCTGAGGGAGTTGTTTAATAGCAATTAACATTACAAATCTGTTAGTCATGTGTGGATTCTGTAATAAACAATTACTGGGAATTAATTATAATTTCCAACTTAGAGTTTTAGCCCTGAAGAAAATGTAAAGCACACCAATATCAAAATGTCAACCACTACAAAACTCACCAGTTCATGTATTTTACATATTAGAGCAACAATTAAAGTTTATAATTGCATAGGAGTATCTATGGTTTAAATGAACATTAGCAATTTTCTTCCAATATAAAGGAAATTAAAATATGTCTTTGGAACTCCCTCTCATTTTGTTATGTGCAAATATGATAGATGATAATAACACAGCTGAATTTATTTGATCAAACAGCTCCATCTATGAATCTGTGTATTTCACTATCACATATTATAAGATGTTTGATAACTGAGTGCTGTGTAACAAAACACTGCTAGACCCTACATAGTGTAAATGGACCAAAAACTCAATAGTCATTCCACCTGATGAAGAATTTGAAGTGTTAGTTTCCTAAGTAACTTGTGTGCCAGCTTCTTATTACTCTATTTGGCCAACATTATATCATATCATCCAAAAGATCCATAAGTTTTTTTAAACTTGAATGCAGACAAAAAAATGGACATCGTTGTTCATAGAGCACAGGCTGGGAATAGGACACTAATTGATCTAACAAACAATATTCTCTGTACTAATATATAATCATAAGACAAAGCAATATAACGAAGTCAAAAGTTATCAAAAGAGGGCTGGGAAGATGAGTCAGTGGTAGAGCGCTTGCCTTGCATGTCTGAGGCCCTGGGTTTGATTCCTCAGCACCACATAAGCAAAAAGAAAAAAAGCCAGAAGTGGTACTGTGGCTCAAGTGGTAGAGCACTAGTCTTGAGCTGAAGAGCTGAGGGACAGCACCCAGGCCCAGAGTTCAGGCCCCACGACTGGACCAAAAAAAAAAAAACTTATCAAAAGAGAAAAAATTAAAAAATAAAAACAATGGAACACAAATGTCCTGATTTAATAAAAGTCAATGGTGTTATGGTGAGTGAAAGAAACAGTAGAGACTATTGGCTTTTGAAACACATGACAGATTATCAGTTCTAAATAATGTTTCTTGTTTCATTCCCTTGTATCTCTTCAAATGTTCTGTCTCCTAAGGTTTATTTCTGAAGAGCTACAGTTGAGAGAGAGAGAAAAGAAGAAAGAAAGAAGAAAAAAGAAAGAACAAAAGAAAGAACAAAAGAAAGAAAGGAGAAAAAAGGAAGAAAGAAAGAGAAAGAAAGAAAGAGAAAGAAAGAAAGAAAAAATTGTGTCATAAAATAAAAACTGTTTGGTTTATGTCAAGCCACCATTTGAGTGGCTTGTACACCTAGAATGAACTATTTTACTATGTTTTACAATTTCTACAGATTATTTATTTATTTATTTAGTATGCTACAGCTGAAGCTTCATACAGAACATAGATGAAAAATATTTAATTTTACTGACCTGGGGATATTAGGCCCTTGACATATCCAACAACATTAGAGATGGTTTTAAACTTTGTAACTGTTTGTACTTGCAGGCGGATAATTCTTTTCTCTGGAAAAACAATTGAAGATATCTGTTTATCTACAATCTGTTATGCATTCCTCTTGAAAAGTTAAAAGTTGTTTATGTATGTAATCAGCAAGAGATTTACACAATTGAAAATTTTCATATAACTACAGATATACTTTCTTATTATTCAATAATTCGTGTATTTTGGATGTGTTTTTTTTAAATTTTATTTTATTTGTGAACATACTGTACAGAGGGGTTACAATTACATGGGCAGGATAATGCATACATTTCTTACCAAGCATTGCAGCCTCCTCCTTTGTTTACCCTTCACCTCCCTTCCCAGCCTCCCCCCTCCCCCGCACTCAATCCTTCCCCCCCACCCCCCACCCCCGCCCCCGCACCAACGTTGTAAAGCTCGTTTTTGACATGACAACAATGATAACGAAGGTTCTCTTGCTTGTCTCCTAGGCCTGTTGAGCCATAAATAGCCAACATTCAACCTAGTATTCTGTGCCACAATTGCTTGTAAACGGAGAACACACAGGAGATCTCGGGGCTCCTCTTTCAGAAGAGAGAAAAACCAAAAGTATTTCCAAAGAATATCAAATACATGTCTGTCTTCAGAAAAAGTGCATATCAGATAGATTTTAACATTTCTTCTGTGATTATTTGAAAACTGTAAATAAAATGCCACATAAAGGAAAGGATATCAGTGCTTAAAGGTACTCAAGTTTTTTCATACATTATAGTCTTTCTGCAAATGTTAATAGGTCTTCCATTGCATTTTAAGTCTCCATTATTTAGTTTACCTCCTTGACTTCCATTTAGATGTGTTAACAAATTTTTGCAAGCCAAGTGCTAAAGGCTCACGTTCTGTAAGCCTAGTTACTCAGGATGTTGAGACCTGAGGATCACACTTCAAAGAAAGCCAGGCAGAAAAATCCTTGATACTCTTATCTCCAACTAACCAGCCAAAAGGCAGATAATAGAGGTGTGGCTTAACTGGTAGAGCACCAGCTTTGCCCAAGTATCCACACCAGTCAGGAAGAATTCTAGGCATAGCTCTGACTTGATCTTCAGTGGCCTTTGCTAATTAGTAATCTATGTTGCCCTTGTACTTGATGGATTTTGGAGCACATGGTACATGAGGGAGGGGTCAGGGGTAAGGTCTTAGCATCTAAGTAGAGGGTGGCAATTAGAAAAAAGCTAATGCTAAGAAACTATAGAATACAAGCAAGTCTTTGATTTTCACTTCTTACTGCTAGATGAAAATTATACTAATAAATATGTTTTTCTTCCTTAGTTGTTACAATTTATATTTTAATTAATTTAACCATAAGATATATACATTTACCTATTCATTAGAAAGAATATTACATCATTTGAAAATAAATGGATGGACGTGAAAAAGAATTATGTTAAATAAAGTAAGTCAGGTCCAGAGAGACAAGTACACATGTTTTCTTTTGTATGTGGAAGTTTGATTTAACTTAAAGCATGCAGGGATATACATATGGTGTTGTATGCAAAAGTCCACAAACATATTAACTGTAGTATGATCATTGCAGAAGAGAATTCAAATGGTGCAATTCCTTAGAAAAACTCACTCCTAAATCAACAAAATAAATAAGGAAACTAGTACTTGAAAGCTGTTCAGAAGAGGTCAAGGGGAGAGGGAGGCTGGAGAAAAATGGAGAGAGGAAGGGGGACAAGGCAGTCATACATTTTCAGGCACATTCTATGAAACTAGGAAAATTGGAGGAAAAAGTTGAGAAGGATGTGAGAGAATGATGAATGTGATAATATTAATCTAGATTCATTATCCTTATAAACTGATTTGCTAAATGATAACTCCTTTATAAAACTACTTACAGATAATGAAAATATAATGTAAAGAAATAAAGAGAAGGTTACTAAGTAGTAGTTGAAAAAAATGACAGAAACTATGATTAAACCAAGAATAAGTGTCTTCGCAGAATGCCTGTGTAGCTTATCTCTGATTAAAAAGAATCTACATAAAGCATGCTTGCCATTGCGATTTCCATTTAGAGGATATACACTTTTTTTAAGTTTCCCCTAAATTAATAGATTGTTTTGTTTGCCACATCCATTTTAGGCTTATTAAAATGTTGGCAGAAAGTACAGATCATGAATATTCCTCTCTCCTCTCTGTATTTCATACCAGTAACATCTTGCAATTGTATGCAACATTTGTCAAGATTGATGGGCTACTATTAATATACTATTATTAACCAAGCCCAGAGCTTACATTATGGCTTCAGTCTTTGTGATTTGCATTCTATAGGTTTTGACAAATGCATAATGACATGTATCAACCCCTGTAATATCACACAGGATAGTTTCTATGCTCTAAATATCTCCCATGCTCCACGTATTCATCTTTCCTTTCTCCCTGGGAATCATTAATCTTACATTGTCTTCACAGGTTTGCCTTTTCTACAATGCCATAAGACTTGGAAAATCATATACGTCTCTCTATTTTTAATTGTTTTCTAGATTTGTTCCAGATTATCCAGATAGGTGAACTTCCTTTAGTTTTTCTACCTGTTGGATTTAGGTATGGATGGAGAATCATGTGTGGTTTTGGAAGATTCAATTTTATTTTCTTTCTAATTCAACATAACATATACAAAAGACTACTTGCAATAGTACCATACATCAATATAGTGCATTCTAGCCTATGGTAACCATTTTCATACACCATAAACTAATGTACATTTATTTATTCATATTGAATCTTCTTGATCCTTGAAAGCACAAATAGGTTCTATTATCTTTATTTATTAAATAAATAGAAACTGGTAAATGAGGCTCAAGTCCAGATCTTCACTTAGAAGCATTTATATCCAAAACAGTGTTTTGCACATTGTCCATTTTTAATTTTTTTTATTATAAAGTGTTTCTTATATATAGAAATACTGATGAGTATGTAATATACAAGGATATGCCAGGTTTTATTCTTAATTTTTTCCTGTGTGGATCAGGAGCCGTTAATTGTCCTTAGTTTGTTTGTTGTTCTTGACATTGAAAAGAATGTATCCAAGATTTTAACTATAAAAATAATTGCTGTGGTTTTTTTGGAAAACTCCCCTTATCAAACTAAGAAAATCATTTCCATTTCTAATTTGGTAAAATATTTTTTATAAACTGAAGTTGAATCATTTATAAGGATAATTGTTGGCTTCAAACTGTTTAGGCATGCATGTATTTCTGGAATAACTTTACTTGGTCAAACTATCTTTGCTGTGTTTGATGACTAATTTTTTTTCAGAATATTTGCATAGAAATCTAAGTGTATGTTTGCTTATTCTACTCGTTTATTCTAGTCTAGTTTTGATGTCAGGATTAGAGAGTCTCCAATAGGACTAAGGGATCTTTTCTTACTTGCCTAGATTATTCAAGAATTTATGGCAAAGCGCTATGATATATGCCTACAATCCCAGCACATAGGAGGTTGATACAGGAAATAGCAAGTGGAGATAAATCTGGGCTAACCAATGAGAGCTGTCTCAGCACACAGATAAACATTCACAACAACAATGCAGTTTCTGAAACATGAGGAATGCCTACTTTATTTTTTTCTTTGATACTATGTATTTATTGTATTTCCTTGGCTGCTCTTTGCCTAGCTCCTTAATTTAGATGTATTGCTTATCATCTTTCTATTTTAACATATGTGCATACATTTAAACCTTCAAAATTACTTTCTTTTTCAAACTGTTTATTATTATTGTGTGTGTGTGTGTGTGTGTGTGTGTGTGTGTGTGTGTGTGTGTGTGTGTGTGTGTGTGTGTTTGGCCAGCTCTCAAGTACCATGATCTTCCCACTTAATACTTTCTGCATAGATGGGACCATGGTGTACTATTCCACTATGCCTGGCTGATAGGTTGAAATGAGTTCTTACTAACATTTCCCAAACCTACCCTAACCTATGATTCTCTTGCAAACCTTTCTGACCACTGAGCCTGGACAGGGATCCAGATGTAGTTATGGTACTTTGGTATCTTTATAAGGTCTTACTGCTGACAAGTCCTACGTTTATTTTTCAAAAATTTAATTTGTGTTAATATTTTATTATGATCTTTAAAAATCTGGTTTATGTTCAAATTATAAAATCACATAAATAGCTTGAGATTCGGTTTTAATATTTATATTTAAAATATTTATGAATAGAACATAAGAATGGATACTACTGATAATTTAGTGTTGTTAGATTTGCTTTGTGACCCTTTAAGGTACTTCAATTGAATAAGTACTTTTATTAAAACCTACATGTAAGTATTATGACTAACGTATATGCTAGTCTATATAAAGCCTATTTCACAAATATTTAAAAAATATTTTATAAGTATTTTTACTAACACATCTTATTTAAACATGTACATATTCTATGCATGTTTCAATAGTTCAAGCTTCAAATTTGTGTGAGTATAGCCTTATTACTTATTCTATATTGGCTATATGCTTTTTGAGTTAATGACCAAAATACATTACATTTTTCTAGAATTACATTAGATTTATCAATTGATTTGAGCAATATTATAGGATTTTACTTTAAACTAGCTTAAGGCCATAAAAATTCTGATGAACTAATTACTCCAAAAACATCTTTTTTTTAATCTCATTTTCTTCCTGAAATTATTTTCTCCCACTCAAATTCAACTATTAATATAATGACTCCCTCTTTCTTTTGGTTTGTATTTCTCTGGTAAATATTTTCTCAGCATTACGTGTTTTTCTGCTAGATATCTCAGAGGCATTCATGTCTTGGGAACAATTTTAATGATAATTGTTTGGCTTAGAGTTTCTGTATTACAATGGAAGTAAAAATTCTAAGCCACAGCTTTTGAGACCTAAAGGCAGATTTTGTTTTGAACACCCAAGACCCAAGCAGAAGGAAACTTATATTGAAGAGTAGATTACTTCCTACTTATACCCCACGGCCTTGGTTTTATAGGGTGTCCGTAATGCAAACTCCCTGCCATCATACACATGTCTTCACACACATGTGGAGTCTT